AGAAAGGAGATTTAACTTTTTTTTTTCCTGCAAACAGTCGTGGAAGACTCACAGCACCATATCGGTAAATTCAGCTCTGCTGACCTCAAGCGCTCCAAAACCATGAGTCCAGTTGCTTTGACTTCCAAAACATTGAGGCAACAAGCACAGAGAAAGTATTATTGTGAGTCTTCTAGGGTTTTGTTTTTTTTTTTAATTTAAGTTAGTATTCTTAAGCTTCCTGCTGCAGTGCAGAGACATGAAATGCTGACTTAAAAAAAAGTGGTAGAAATTCTCACAACTACATAAATTGAAAACCTAAATTTAAAGAATCTCCCCCAAACCCTACACAAAACAAACCAAAACCCACAGATATAACAATTTTTATGAAGATAGAATAGCAATTGAAGTGAAATTATGAGGAACCATTAAAATAAAGAAGTTATTTTTCTATTATGACACATCATTCAACAGGGGAATCTACTATTGAAACAATAAATAGCTTCAGAAATATTGAGACAAATTCATAGAAGAAAGATTCAATCGATCACTGCTAAAATTAATGGGCTAGATGCAATTTATGGTTTTGGAATCCCTAAACATTAGCTGTTGTAATGGTATAATCAAAGGAAGCGCCTGATTTCTGTACTTCTGAACAAAACAGACAGTACTTCCTTTCTTCTACCACTGACCATTGTAAAAGACTTAACTTTTTTTTTTTATGGCTGCTTTTCATGTCTATATGAACTAACTGAAAAAAAGATCAATCACATCTACTAGAAATAATTCTGATGATATCAACAATAAGAGTTTCTAGGTTCTATGCAGAAACCTTAAGTTACATATAAGAGGCACAGTCCAGCTGAGATTTTCTTTGTAGGACTATAGCTGCGTATGTGTATATATGCATACATATAAAAGTAATATTTGCTCTCTTGTGTAAAGGGAGCAAAATAATCTGAAATAATTGACTAAGCGACAATTTTTCAGGCTAGCTACTCTCTTTTTTTCTTTTCTTCCTTTTTAAAGCACAAGCATAAGTGTGTTTCTGATAAAACACATTAAACACAGACCAACAGTATCAATGTGTGGGTAATGGGGAAGCAAAGGAAGGAGCTCTATAGAGATCATTAGCAGAATGACGTGTCAAAAGTAAGACACACTTGAGATGCGGCTACCCAGTAGTCAGTGCAGTTGCCTGCAGTTCGACCGAACTAGATGCGAGACTGCCCTAGCTAAGGAGATGCACGCCATCGTTAACATGGCTCCGTGCTCTGCTCAGCTCCGGTCCCTATCAGCGGGGTGTTACTAGTTCAAATGCTGCACTAGTGCACGCTGGTGGGTGCCCGACCTAGGGAGGGCTTGCAGCAGGCAAGCCAGCTCCACTGAGGAAGTGAATGAACGGCAGTTTACAGCCATGCAGGCCAGCACGGCCATCTTGGAGACGGGAGCCAAGTGTATTTTCAAGTAAATCTTCCAATTCATTGTCCTTGGTATCAGCCCAAGTTTATGTGGGCGCCACCACCAATATACCGTCAATGCTGGCAATGGCTTTACTGGTATATGAACACTTAGCAGGCCCAGGTTTAGTTGAGCACTGACCACATCTTCCAAATTCACAGTAAATACAGAAGTTCAAGGCTGTCAAGGCTGGCCCGAAGATCTGTTATCTTGCTTGTGCACATAAGCCTGCCCTGAGCAAATTACTTCAAGGTGTTCAGACAGTAAGTCTGCTACACAACACTCTAGAACTACAGAACACATTTTTATAGAAAGAATAAATGTGCAAATAAACCTGTACCAGGACATCACTCTTCAAGGAAAACAGCTTGACCATCATACTGGAAACAGTGAAAAAGGGATACGTTAGGGATGTCATTTGACAAACACCTTGAGGAAAGGCAGACAGGACGTATAAACCAACCAATACAAGGTTGGTTTTTCACAGTAGTGTCAGCTATTTACAAGTAATGACAGCCTCTGTCTTAGCAACAAGATAAACATCAGGCTGCCAGGAGCCATCAAACTGCTGGTACTCTGATACAGAAAAGCAGGTATAGGGGAAATGTATTTATTGAATTGGCCTCTGTAGCTATCTTATTGTCTTTGCAGAAGAGCACTGCTTCAAGATTAATTGTCTTGGGAGATTAACAGGCAGACTGGCTATTTTTACTTCTGTAGTTGCTAGCTAAAAGTTATTCCACTGGGGTAACCTGCAAACCTCATCGGGTCATACGTATGCACAATTTCAATACAACAAAAATAAAAATTATACAATTGATACGTCCACTTACTCTTTTTTTTGTGTTTAAACAATCTTTTGATATTTTTGTAATATTTCATAATACAGAAGAGTGTATTTAACACAGTTGTTAGGACTACCTACATGGGAAACATACAGAGAAACTTCGAGCCAATTCACCAGCGCTAATAATCCATAAAAGCACTCAAGAATTCATTTCAAGCAAAACCATGCCCACTATTGAAGCTGTAGTTGCATGGGTCTTTTGGGGAAAAAACAAACACACCCCCCCCCAAAAATCCCCAACCCCCAAAATTTTAAGTTCTTCTTTTCAGACTGGATGAAGTGAATGAGGAGACAGAGGCTACAAGTGTAACCCTGGCCAAATATCAATCATTTGAACTGTACGTTTAAACCAACCCCACTGAATTAAACTAACAGAACTGACTGTTTTAACCTGGCAGAACTGACTCTAGAAGTGCTGATATGAACTTCTCTGCCACCAAATAAGTGGGTGAGGTGGGAACACCCTCTAAGGAAGAATGGAAGTCGTCATTGTCCTTAAAATCTGACCTTGCTGATGAGAAACGGGTACCCACCCTCCTTTCTTACTCAGAATAAGGCAGTACAGAGTGTTCTATTTGCAGAACTACCTCCCTGTATTACTACAGCTTCCCTTTCCCCATTAGTTAAGATGAAAGGCTAGGGGAGAGAAACACATGCACAGATTTTAAACATTCCAAACTTAAAGCAATGGAAAAAACCCACTAGCTAATCTAACAGAAATATTGATTAATGTTATGCCAAAATACAAAAACTAGCCACCATTAATCTGATGTGAAAAACCACTTTTCACCATGGCACACAAGTCCATAGACTCGAACATGAGTGAAAAAACAAACCAACCAACCAACCCACCCAGCTTTCAAAGTGAGTATATCAGCAGAATAGACAGGGGGGTTACTTTTATACTCTAGGCTAAGAAGCTATCATTATATTATAGTCAAAGCAACTTTTTCTGTTCCCATAATCAAATTTCTAAAACAAACTTCTTGTTCAACCCTTCACAACCTGCTTATAGCCGACATAATCCCCTCAAGCATATAAAACATTAAAACTTTCCATCGGTTGTTGAAAATGCAGTGAGTACTGTAAGGAAAGGAAGGCAGGAAGAAGATGGAAAAAACAAAAAATCAAACCTAAACTCTATAATATCGCATTTATCAGTGTGGGTCAAGTCATAGACCTATCTAAACAGCAGCATTCACCTCCAAAAATAGTATTTAGCTTGGGATGAACCTAGTGCAGCAGTTAATGGGTGCAAGGGCTGTTCGGTTCTATCCTCAGTCTTAGTTAAAACAGCTGTTTCGGAGAAAGATACTTGCCAGTTTCTCATCTGACCTTTAAAGAGAAGCCCTCATCAAATTTACTCAGGTCTTCAAGACTACAAATCATGACAGCTCCACTGACTTTTAGGGCATCTACTACTTCACCGAGAAGGGGCACTCCGATTTGCAGCAGCAGACTTCCCTCCTCTTCTGCTCCCTCGCCCCAAGGTGAACCGGCACTGCTCTTTCACAGTCCCGTTCCCTTAACAGGCCATTACGGGCCTTTGAAAGCTACTACTGACAACATTTGCTGAGAGCACTTCCTAAGGCCAGTCTATTCTGGGTTAAGCTGATTCACACAACCCATTTAAAACTCTTTATAGAGCACAAGGCAAATTACTCATCATTAATTAAAAATAAGCATCCTTTAGGAGAACAGGCTAAAAACCATCATTGCAAGATCCTTTTAATGGTTTATTCCGAGGTTTTTAAGTAATTTAGGTTTGTTTTGTTGGCAACGATGCTCACAGAACCTTTGGGTTTGGGATTTTTGTTTTGTTCTTTTGAAGCACGTAGCAGGACTTTATTTTAAAAGCGTTAACTATGTGATTCACTAAGCCCTGCTCCTCTGTTCCCAGACAGCCTTATCCCTAACTCCTTGCTACTTTTTTAAAGGGATAAAAGACATTTTTACAGAAAGACCTCCCCTTATCTCAGAATATCAGACTGATGGTGAAGCCATCAGTCACATCTATGGGGGAGAAATTACAGCAGGCAGGAATAAAGGGGGGTAGTGACCAGCAGAGAAAGCTTCACAAACAAGACGACAATTGCCTTGAAAGAGGAACGGCACTCTTGAACACTAACTGCCCATCTCAACGGGGAAAAGCATGTGTAGGAAAAAAGAGAAAAACCCCACACCAAAACCTCCTCTCCTCGCCTCCAGTTTTTAAGACGACTCATTTTGATAGCCAAGGAAAATGAGTGTGCAAATGGAACCAGCATGCCTATCTTCCCAGCTGCTATATTTAAGGTGCCTCAAGCACACGATTTTTTTTATAGCCACATTCCACTCTGTAGTGATTAATTTGCCAGATTGCTGTTGAAAATACATCTGTAAAAGAGGATTTTTAAAAACTAGACAAATAAAGACAAACCTGTATCCTGCCCTCTGCATGAGGCAACATGAGATAGTGAGCAAGGACGGAGAATAGGAAAAAAAACCAAACCAAAACCCAAACAAACCACCATTAGACTATTTCATTCAGTCAAATCCTAATAAGTTTCTGCTCCTGCTGTTTTCTAAATATACCTGGATATACCTGGACCTGGCCTCCAATAATTAAGGTCACTTTTTATACGGTATCTGTTTAGTCTTAACAAAGCAAAAAGAAGTGTTTATGTCATTTTCAAAAGGTAAGGAAACTTTAGTAAATGCATTATAAACTCACTTTTGCTTTAGCACTCTGTGATCAATTAGTCCTTCTTCATTTTCAGTTGAGCACGGATATTTTTTCTGCTCCACAGGACCAGAAGCATTTAACATTTGTCTGTCAGTAGCCCTGAAAGAAAAAAAAGGACAAAAAAAGAAAAAAAAAAGGATTTTCCAAATTTTGTCAAGTTTTGTGCAGTTATAGAAAAGAGGTATTTTAGGGTTCTAAAATATCAGTGGCAGAAGTAGAAAAGGAGAAAAATTAACATATTGAATAGTCATGATTTCATGTCATGCTAACGTCTCTTAATCAATCTCTCAGTTCAATTATCAGACTCCGACAAGTTAAAAGGAAAACTGTAAATAATACTGCCTAGCGATATTCCAATTACTACACAGTTACAAAACACAAGAAAACAAACCTTCTCAGGTTGCAGGAGAACTGCCATCTCCATAGCCTGGTGCCTCCTAATCTCTGGGAATAATTAACCAGTAGAATATGCAAGGGGTGTGGTGAAAAAGCGATTTACACAGTATTGTAAGGCAGTTTCTATTCAACTAGAACCTTGAACACTTGTTTTTTTATGGAGGCTAAGTCCATCTCGCACCTTCAAGTCAGCTTTGCATTACTTCAACCACTCTAGAAGATCCCCGAATGCCACCTGGTGTCACATCCCGCTGTTCCTGGTCATTCGCTCCAGCTCTAGCCTGTCACTAGCACCAAAAACTCCAGATACCCACTTTGCTATGTGCCAGGCCAAACCACTGCTTTCCATTTAACCTTTGCGTCCACCTCTCTCCCTCCCCATTTTCCTGTTATTTCTTCTTCTCCTTTTGTTGGTAGAAGCCAACATCAACAGTTTTACCCTGCACTGGGGGAAAGGCAGACCTGAGATAGGGGCTACTATTATGCTGCCAAGAAGTCATGGACTTCAGAACCTCTGAACTCCAAACGTGCTTTATAGACTGTTTCAGCCTCAGCTGCACTCACACATGAATGGCTATTATTGGAAGTGACTTTTTAACGTTTGCCAAGTTTATAAGGGGAGTTTTCCCTTTTCATGAATCAATACATCTTTTTCAGTTATCCAGCTAAAAGCAGAAAAATCCAATATGTTCTCTATGTGGCTCCTAGAAACAATCGATCTTGGAATTGGAAAGCATCTTGATATTTACCTGGTAACATCTGTGTGAGCTCCTCATATCCACATAAGCACAGTTTCTACTGCATGACCCAGAATGCTTCCACCTTACCAGTGACAGACAAAAGATGCTATATTCCGTGTCCTACTCCAAACTGCTGGAGGTGTAAGTCACATTCAGTGTCCTTTCACAAGTCCATTACTTCCACACAGAAAGCGTTCACCCACCATACTCAAAACTCCATGTCCAACCAATGACTTTATTTCTGTTCCTAGCAGAGAGGCGAGCTGAGCACAATTCACACCCAGTTAGATGTGCTAAGGACACCAGGATAAAGAGGTGTCCAGCCAGGAGCGCACCAACAAGCACCGGGGAGAGCATTCATGTGAGAAATACAACAGGGAAATACTGCTGGCAGCTCTTGGAAGCTCCACAGCAGTTTCAGCTGACCCAGAAGGGGACAGCTATGGTGCTGCTTTCTCCCCTGCCCTGAGCAACGCCATCTCCACCCCGGCCCTGGTACTGGCAGGGTGAGCTAGTTCTGGGAACTGGCCTGACCGAGAAATAATTCTGCAAAACAGAAAAGGTGGTTGGTTTTCACCTCGGCTCAAGCACCACAGGAGAACGGCTAAGAACACACAGACTCAGTTTTCACAGTTGTCCCGTGTCGCTGTGGGGCCACACACTCAGCTGCAGATGCTACTACCAGTGAACCTTAGGGCAGTGACTTTGCTCAGGCTGAGCTGCAGTCTTGGTTGCATAACATCGCTGAGCAACAGAGGAAATGTGAGTTCACTTCACATATATTGTGGATCTATGGATTTTTGGTTTTGTCACATATTCTGTTCCTCTGTGTCAGAGTAGCTTACAAAGAAAATAATTTTATTACATTACTTTAAAAGAGGGTCTCATACACTTTATTCCAGTCATGAGTCCCTAAATTAGGTCAAAAGAAATTATTCTTAGAAGACTTTGTTCAAGATTTACCAAACAGACAAAATAATTTCAAACTACATCACTAAGACAAGCACTCCAGACTTAAGAAGTGACAGTTACAGCTACCTGCATCATATGAGGATACAGCTTTTAGTTTTATAATAAAATACTATTTTTACTGCAGGAACTTTTCATCATTCTATACCCCAACCTGCATAGAATATCCTGATTTTTTTACTCATCCTAGAATCATTAAGGTTGGAAAAGACCTCTAGGATCATTGAGTGCAACTGTCAACCCAACACCACCATGCCCACTAAACCATGTCCCTAAGCGCCTCATCTACCCGTCTTTTAAATACTTCCAGGGATGGTGACTCAACCACTTCCCTGGGCAGCCTCTTCCAATGTTTAACCACTCTTTCAGTAAAGAAATTTTTCCTCACGTCCAATCTAAACCTCCCCTGGTGCAACTTGAGGCCATTTCTTCTCGTCCTTGTGCCAGTTACGTGGGAGAAGAGACCGACACCCACCTCGCTACAGCCTCCTTTCAGGTAGTTGTAGAGAGCAATGAGGTCCCCCCTCAGCCTCCTTTTCTCCAGGCTAAACAACCCCAGTTCCCTCAGCCGCTCCTCATAAGACTTGTTCTCCAGACCCCTCACCAGCCTCATTGCCCTTCTCTGGACACGCTCCAACATCTCAACATCCTTCTTGTAGTGAGGGGCCTAAAACTGAACACAGTATTCGAGGTGCGGCCTCACCAGTGCCCAGTACAGGGGCACGATCACTTCCCTACTCCTGCTGGCCACACTATTTCTGATACAGGCCAGGATGCCATTGGCCTTCTTGGCCACCTGGGCACACTGCCGGCTCATGTTCAGCCGGCTGTCGACCAGCACCCCCAGGTCCTTTTCTGCCAGGCAGCTTTCCAGCCACTCTTCCCCAAGCCTGTAGCGCTGCATGGGGTTGTTGTGGCCAAAGTGCAGGACCCGGCACTTGGCCTTGTTGAATCTCATACAGTTGGCCTTGGCCCATCGATCCAGCCTGTCCAGGTCCCTCTGCAGAGCCTTCCTACCCTCGAGCAGATCAACACTCCCGCCCAACTTGGTGTCGTCTGCAAACTTAGTGAGGGTGCACTCGATCCCCTCGTCCAGATCATTGATAAAGATATTGAACAGAACTGGCCCCAATACTGAGCCCTGGGGAACACCGCTCGTGACCGGCCGCCAACTGGATTGAACTCCATTCACCAGAACTCTCTGGGCCCGGCCGTCCAGCCGGTTTTTTACCCATGTAGAAAATACATGACTGAATGCATTTCTTAAACATGCTTGAGTTTTATTTTGTGGTTCTTGACTCTGACATAGAAAGTGTTTCAGAAATAGCGGCTTATTTACCTAACTTCCCTGTAAATAGAGGAATACCAGCATCTTATTTTACAGGCAAGAAA